CCGGCTAGCGTTTCTGTTGGTCACAGGGCCACCAGCAAGGCAGCCTGAATGTTCACTGAATCGTGTTTGTCGCTGTCTTTTTTTTTCTGCACAAATGGAAATAGTCCCCAAGTTCTACAAACTGAAAGCGATAAAACAGCTCTGGAAAAAAATACCCAAGTTAGGCACCTTAGTGGTGAACTTTCCTGAGTTGTTATAACCTCATCGTCTTTACCCCTAGAAAGAACCTTCCAGAAACCAGTTCCTTAGGAGTTGCAGTAGAGCGTTGTCACAGACGTGGTCCCTTCCCTGAGCTCCAGGGGCTTAAAGTTGCTGCATCATTTCCATCTTGACTTCTAGGCCTTCCTAGATTTAGAAGACTCTTGCCAAGTAAGAAAATAATTTTACTTTCCTAGGCAGACTGGGGTTTTCCTCCTAGAGGGTAAAATTGCTTATTAACTGGAGACTTTCAACTTGGACCCCAGATCTGAACTCTCCCGGATACACAGGTGGCCCCGCTGAGCCTGTCAGGGTCACAGGGGCACCAGTGCCTGGGCAGCCTGGGCGCCTGGGCCCCAGGCCCCTGTGTTTTCTTCACCCCCCACCTCCGTCCGGCTGAAGCCCACACCTCCCCCGTGGCAGTTCCCTTCCTGTCCCATCTCCTTCCTCTGTCATCACCACCCTCCACTTCCTGGCTGGACGTACCACCAGGCCGAATAAAAATGCAGTTTCCCCACCCCACTCCCTGTGACCAAGATCTGGCCGTGGGGTGGAAGTGGACACAGAATGGGCAGTGCCTACACGGTTGGGGCGGTGGACGCGGCCTCCTTTCCTGTCCTGCCTCCTTCTGGCTGGAGTGCAGCTGCCATCCTAGACCACAGACGGAGGCCAACGGCTGGGGACGCCAGACCAGGCATCACCCGTGCGTCAGAGTCGACCAGGTGGCTTTTTTTCTCACCTTCCGGTCTAACAGGGCAAAGGGGCCTCCCCTCAGACGTAGTACATTCTCACGGCTTGTCTGGCTCCACATTTATGACACCAAAGTCATGCTGTCAACAAGACCTGTGGGTGAAAATCCAAGGTAAAATGATGCCGCCGTTGGGTGACGTGTCCAGGACGTTCCAGGCCAAGAGACGGGGAACGGCAGTACTGATGGGAGGGGCAGAAAATGAGTGTTCATTATTCAGGACACGAGAAAACCACGAGCAAACCACGAGCACCAGGAGAGAGCGGAGGGAGTCGGGAAGAAGACCCCAGGGCCAGGAGGAAGCCCCCGGCACCTGCACGCCTCCGCCCCTCCTCCAGCCAGAAGTGCTTCCCAGGTATCCGTGGAAGGGAGCGTCAGGCCTCAGGACCAACCCTGTATCACGGGGACCAGAACCACTCACAGGCTTTTCATTGTTACGTAACCCTTTAAGTATTTCAGCCAAAATATTGACTTCTTCTCTGAAATGTCTTTGTTTTTCAAAAGCCCCAAGTGAAAAGACCTCATTCAGGAATTGCTCAAATAAATGCAAATCAAAACTACAATGAGCATCACCTCACCCAGTCAGAATGGCCATCATTAAAAAGTCCATAGATGCTGGAGAGGGCTTGGAGAATAGGGAGCCCTCCTACACTGTGAATGGGAATATAGTTTTGTGCAGCCATTATGGAAAACAGTGTGAAAGTTTCTCAATAAACTAAAAATAGACTTACCACATGATCCAGCAATCCCACTCCTGGGCATGTATCCAGAGGGAACTCTAAATTGAAAAGATACATGCACTCCAATATTCATTTACAACATTTGCAGCACTATTTACAA